ATTTAGCTCAGTGGTTTCGCCGCCTGCCTCACAAGCGCAAGGACCCAAGTTCAATTCCTGGTACCAAAAAAAAAAAAAAAAAATCTAACCAAAACATTAAACTGGATGCAATAATATATAAGAAAAAAACTCATCACAACCAAGTTATATTTATTCCGTGTGTATGAGATTCCATGTATATGAGGTTTAAAAAAAAAAAAAAATCAATGCAAAACCTTGTTTCTAGTCAAAATAGAGTACAGGGCTGGGGACTTAGCTCAGTGGTACCACAGCCTGCCTGGTAAGCGCAAGGTCCTGAGTTCGATCCCTGGTACCAAAAAAAAAATGCAGTACAGAAACCAGATGTATTCTCTCCCCTGAAACAACTACAAACAAACAAACCAGACCATTTAATAGAAAGTGAACAAAGGAAATGACAGGCACTTCACAACAGAGAAAATTCAAGTGACTTATATATTTATATACACACAGACACATACAGGTACTCAATATTCTTAATCACCAAGGAAATGAAGGCACAAACAATAACCTTTATGTGCCCACCAGAATGCTCCCCAAAACCCTGCTAAAAGAGAAAGTGACAGTGATGAGACCAGTGTTGGCAAGCATGTAGAGTTGCTAAAACTCTTACTCCTGGTAAAGTGTGAACTTGTAGAACCCCTTTAGAAAACTGTATGTATTAAAGATAAGCATATACAAACTCAATGACCTAGGAAACCCAAAAGCATATTTTATCTCTAGCAAGATATATATGTGCACAAAAACATGTAAAGTAATATTCACAATGGTCCAAAAGCTAGAAACAATTTAAATAGCTATCAACATATAGAAAGTAAAAATTAATCAGGACAGTTTATATAAAAGAATACCATATTTTTAAAATGCTGTTACATTCCACCAATTGGTGTTAGAAGACAAAATAGTTACTAAGTTTGTGGGGATAAGTGTTCCTGGTGGTCGAGAAGTTGCATGATGTGGTTACACAGGTGTGTTTGCTCTGCAAAAATAATTAGGCTGCTCATTTAATATCTATGAGCTTTACTTCAATGAACAAGTTTACCCCGCAAAAAACTTTCCACCCTAAAACACTTTCCAATCTGACAATATATATAAGTTTTAACAAATCAGGTATCAAAATACATTCTGAAACTTGAAAAAAGAAAACCAAGTGAAATGTTTCTATCATAGCCATTATTTTAATCTGCCTAGGGTAATTCCTCCATCCCAATTCTCTTAATAATGCATCTCATCCACTGACTATAGGGGTGTCAAGAGTACTGTAGTACCAGAGACTGGTTTAAGGACAAAGTGCCTAGTACACTGTCAGACACAGTGTAGGCACTCAATAAATATGTTTCGAGTTCGATCCCCGGTACCAAAAATAAATAAATAAAACAAATAAATACCTGTTAATAAATTAGAGCACAGAGAGCCAAAAAAACAGCAGTCAGCAGGGGGTACTCTCTCAAGGTCAGAACTCGGGCCTGAGGTCTGTCTACCGCCCACCCTAGAATGCAAAGCCGTCAACGGCTCATACTTTACTTTGGTCACTGACATAACTCTACTAGTCTCAGAATGTTTATCCACTTGAAAAAAATAACCCAATTCCTCTTTAAACTATTCCATTAGGGCCTAGGGTATAGCTTAGTGGTAGAGCACGTGCCTCGCATGTGTGCAGCCTGGAGTATGATCCCCAGCAGCAACACCAAAATAAAACACTAGTATGATATATTCAACATAACATCTTTAGAAATATTTTCCATATTCTGGGAAACAAGTAGGATAATATCAGGATTTGAGTCTGTTCCTTTTTTTTTTAAGGAGCTAGCATCTTCAGCCATACAGTACTTTCACACTACCACTGGCCCCCCAACCTGCGATGATAGCAGCTACATTGACAATTGCTATTTGCTGCCATTCCAGCTTCCTTAAAACTTTTTGTCCAGGTTATTATATACTTTTTGTATGTACTTTTTACGAACTATACATGAAAATACTATCTGAACGGTAATGTTTAGTAAGAAACCTCATTTAGAACCAGTTATGTTGCCTAATAACTACTGAATCAGTAAATGGACTACTAATTTAATTCATTCACTTTACTATTCTTTTCTTCTGAGGCTTTCTCACTCTTCAAGACAGCTAACTATATATGCAGTAATAATAAATACTCACCATTTATTGAGCAGTTAATGTGTGTCAGGCACAATCCTAAGAATTTTTTATATATTATTCATTTGGCATTCTTTTAAAATGTACATCAGACACTAGAATAATAGTTTTTATTCTTTTTTTTTTGGTACTGGGGATCAAACTTGGGTCCTTGCGCTTGTGCAGCAGGCGGCGAAACCACTGAGCTAAATCCCCAACCCTAGAATAATAGTTTTTAATAACAATGTATATCTCAGAGAAATAAACTGGCAATAAATAGCTTAAAAAGCAATGTATGCTAAAAAACTAACCTTAGTTGTTATTCAACTGAGTTTGGTTTAAAGCTCAGTTATAAACCTGGGCTGAGGATGTAACTCAGTGGCAGAGTGCTTGCCTAGGTTCAATTCCCATAACCCACACATAAGCCCGAATAGCTAAATCATATATTAACTGGTAAGTCTCAAATCTACATTAAGATTGATTAATCTAGGGCTAGGGATTTAGCTCAGTGGTACCGCACCTGCCTCACAAGTGCAAGGTCCTGAGTTCGATACCTGGTACCGGGGGGAAAAAATTTGATTAATCTAGAAAGACAGCCATGGGGGCGCAGATTTAGTTCAGTGGTTCCGTCCCCTGCCTTGCAAGCGCAAGGTCCTGAGTTCGATTCCTGGTACCAATAAAATGAAAAGATAGCCAGGCATGGTGACACACACCTGTGATCTCAGCACTTTGGAGGCTGAGTCAGGAGGATCTCTTCAAGTTCAAGGCCAGCCTGGGATACATAGTGAGTTCAAGGCCAACCTGACCTTCATAGTGTGACCCTGTCTCAAAATAAATAAATAAATAATTTTTAAAAATATAATCAAGATCCCAATAAAAATGAATTTTTTCCACATTATTTAGGTGGTAGTACTTCACTTTTTTTTAACCCTGCATATGTAACTGTGAGAATAAATTTTTTAAAAAAACTAAACAGGTTTACGCCTGCCTCACAACCGCAATGTCCAAGTTTGATCTCCGGTACCAAAAAGAACCAAAAAACAAAAAACAACTAAACAGGTTTCTAAAAATCTAACCATAAAATTACTGAATCAAGCTAGATGTGGTGGCCCACACCTGTAATCCAAGTAGCCAGGAAGACAATTGCCACAGGTGTGAAGCCACCCTGGGCTACATAGTGAGTCCAAGGCTAGCCTGAACTAAGCAAGAACCTATCTCAAAAAAATCGTTTTTAATTGAAACAAATTATAATTATCTGAATTTTCAAGTACCTTCAATAAAGGATTCTCACTGAACTAATCTCTGATAGGGATCTACTAATGCCTGTAGTGAAAGCAAATTTATTATTTCTATTTTGTAAACAAGCCCAGTTTTAAGGAAGTTAATATTTAGTCAAAATACTCTTTGCTATAATTTCTACTTATATGACCTAACACCCTACATCAAAGAACAAGTCTACTCTCTGCTCCCCTGCTCCTGATTTAGCCCCTCAATATTTGCGGACAAATACATTATTTCTAATTACCCAGCCTATTGATTTTTAGGCTAAATGAACTTGTTTCTATATCCATTTCACCACATGGCAGTTTCCAGACTTTTCTTCATCTTAATGACCACTCTCTCATCAGTATTAATACTGTGGATTTTTTGCTGAGAGCTGATTCTTCTGGAGCCTGCACATACACCTTATATGTAGCCCAATCTTATCTTGGTGTTTTCAGCAGTACAGCTAACTCCTGACAAGTACTCAAGTGAAAGCCCCCAGAAGAAAAACTGCTGGTTGTTGAAATCACTCATGTTCTAAAACAGGAACAGAGTTCTTAAAAGAGTAAATGACATTAACTTAATGGCAGAAGTAGACTCAGCATGCAGGTCTTCCAAATATTAATGCTTCCAACACATCAGATTCATACCTTACATAAGGAGTAGCAAGGCAAATACTGAAAGGTTTTTTTTGTTTTGTTTTGTTTTAAGCTCTAATTCCACTTTTTCTTTCAATTCCTTTTTTTGGTTTGTGACTATTTATTTATTTATTTATTTTTTGGTGCTGGGTATCGAACTCAGGACCTTGTGCTTTCAAGGCAGGAACGATGCCACTGAGCTAAATCCCAGGCCCTGAAAGTTTGAAAATAGATGACACACATGTAGGAAAAAAAACTTTAAAAGATTTTCTTCAACTATGCCTCTTGGTTTTTGGTAACATTATTAATGATTAATACAGTACTCATCTGAATTTTTTGAAAAACATACATAAGCTCCCATCATAAAAATATTCTTGCATTTTTAAAAAACTAAAAAGGTACAACAATATTCTTGGTGTAATATAACTTAGAGTAAAACTTTAATTTTAAAAAGCTTAACATATGAATAAGTAGTTAACTTACATAAAAATATACCTTGCAAAAATGTTTTGTGATGATGGATTTGCTGTCATAACATGATTTGAAATGTAAAAGCTACATGAGCACATGCAAACATAAAATTAGTTTGTTAGTATTTACAGAGGTGGAAGGGTCAAATCATTCAACACTGAGCCATTAATATGTAAGTAATTAAACCCAAAATATCTGCCATTATGAGTCCGGTGATAAAATATACAAATAAGTCTACCAAACAGGAACAGCTAAATGGAGTTTAAAAAGCATGAGGATTATGATGAGTTTCAAGCACTACCTGCCAGAACATTTATGGAACTTCAGGTGTTAGGTGAAATGTAGCAATCAGGGATGGCACTGTGAGCAAGCAGCATGAATGAACACATACTCTAAAGTTCCAGGTGACATTCAGCTTCTACTACAAAGGGAAGGATTCCCCCCATTACAGAGGCATTGGTACACTGCCCTCTGTACCTGGCACATCCTGGGGGAGCTCGGATGCCACCTTCTTCTCTGCCATGTTGCTGCTATCATGGGTTTCTGAGAGACACCCCACAGGGCTCCTCCCTTCAGAGGGACTAGTCTCTTCTGAAGAAGCATTTGTTGTGTTGTCGCCATGATTTGCTGACACAGAGTTACCTTTATCCCCAACTTCTGTTGGCTCTACAGCAAAATGCACAACAAAACTTTAAAGATATTCTTTAAAATTGCTTTTGGACAAATGGCCACATTCAACCAACTACTAACAATGATCAATCACCAGAAAACCTGCTTCTATTTGATGGCCATTTAAAAGCAATCAGATTTTGGGATATTTTTGCGCTAGGTAATCCAAAGATTTATTTAAAAGTGTTTAATATATTAAGAATGTTTTAAGTAATAAAAAATGAACATACTTTTATCACATGCAAGTGTATATTCTGGTAGAAATACAGCAATTTTTCACCAACAAATCTCACAGGGAACGGCAACTTCTTAGAAGTGTAAGTAGAGATACAAGTATAACATTATCACAAATCTATCAATACATAAAACTCACTATAGCTGTTGTTCTTGTTACAAGGGAGGAAGGTATCATACTCTCCTTAGAAACAAAGTTGAGATTTGCAATAAAAATTTTCACTTTCATTTTGCAAATAAATTGGCAGGTTCATAAATATTGCTAATAAGATACTTCTTTTTAACCAAGTAATTCTTTTACCCTCAGATCTTCCTTGCTCCGGATCATCATCTGGTGATTTGTCATCACTGTCTTTCTCAAAGGACTGGTCTTCAAGCTCCTCTCTGCTTTTCTCAGCATCTTTACTGTTGTTATCCTCGGTCTCATTCTTGTCCTTTTCTATTTCTTCCGGGCTTTTAACATTATCAATGTCTCCCTTTTTGGCTCTTATGGATTCCAAAATTTCTTCTATAATGTAAAACAAATTTTAAAATTTTATTTCTATATATAATCAACTATAAGAGTACTATATTATTATGTTTTAATATTAAAGAGAAAAGTTAAATATTTTTAAAGCACGGCACTATGAAAAAGTCAAGAATATAAACACAAATTTTGTTTACGGAACTCAACCAATTTGTGGTATCTTCATTTCTAGAAAATACATGCTAATTATAGATTCAACTTTCTTTAAAAAAAGAAAAAAGTATACAAGTCTCTCAAATTAAGACTTGCGATAGATCCTCTGCCACAGACAGCTGCAAGCTGACCTAGACTCAGTCTGAGCACCACACTGTAAAACTTAAAAACCTAGAGACCTGGGACCCAGTACAGATCTGGCTTGAATCTGCTGTGTCCCTGGGTCACGCTACCTAGCCTCCCCAGCTCTGCATCTTCTCAAGTATAAAAGGAGCACAGAGCTGGGGATTTAGCTCAGTGGCACCACCCCTGCCTCTCAAGTATAAGGTCCTGAATACTGGGTACCAGGTGGGATGGGGTGGGGTGGTGGTGTTGAGCAACAGAGGCCCATTTGCAGAGAACTCTTCTCTCTGAAGTCCGGTAAATACTCTGAAAGTCCCTAAATCCCTACAGGTGCTAATATTCTTTGAACTTAGGCAGAGTCCCACAACAGCACAGTACAACCACAGGACAAAGAAAATACCAGAGTGCACAGCACAAGGTAAATTAGTGTGGACACATGAATACTAACTATAATCTAGTACCATCACTATTTTGCTGCTCAAATTGTTGCAGCTTTGGTCACTTTTCAGAGTCCTGTGTCCTTTTCACATGTCTCATCCATCCATTCACTCATTCACTATGCTCCAGGCTACCTTATATTTTCCCTGCCCCAGTCCTAGAATCTGCTACCTCTCCACAGTTCTTTGACTGCAGAATGGTTAGAAGTTATGGTTTGTGTGCTAGGTGTGCTTGTTACTTTTGGAGTATTGCTATTTCTAGGCTTTCTCAGACAACACAGCTAGAAAATATATTTCTGTGTCCTAACCCATGCATGTACAGATGTATATTTCCGTATTTATCAGTGCATGGGGGTATGTATGCGTGTTCATCTGTGAGTATCTTCCTGTGGCTCATTAGCCCCTTGCTAATTTGTAACTTCTTTGACAGTGAGAAACCTCTTATTATCTATAATATATCTAGTTACTTGTTCAATTCTGTTACACATGATAAAGTTTCAGAACTGCTAAACTGTATCCCCATAATAAATAAGCTTACCAGATACACTACAATGTTTAGGAATAAGAAGAAACATTTGTAATCCCATGTGCTCCTTTTTATATTTTGGATTTCCTTATTTTCATTTCCATTAATTGTTCTCTACCTTCATTTTCAACAATTAATTCCTAAATTATAGATAGCTTTTTTATAGATATCCTTTCTTAGGATAGAAAAAAAACTGCAAGGGAGTAGGGGGTGTAATAGCTAGTGATACAGCACTTCCTCCTACATCTGACGCCTTAAATTCAATCCCTACCACCACAAAACAAAACAAAAAACATCTTGTAAATCACTATTAGGAAATAAGTGATTTTTCTAGGAAAGTGATTATATTGGAGCTGGTCAATTCCCCATACTACTCTCTTTCATCTACCCTAATCTTAATTACTGTAAGAATTCACAGTTTAGCCAGGCATGGTGCCTAATGCCGGTAATCCAGCACTCAGGAAGCTAAGGCGGAAGGATCACTGCAAGTCTGAGGACAGTCTGGGTTACACAGTGAGTTTAAGTTTAAGACCTACCTGAACTAAACTTGTCTCAAAAAAAAAAACCAAGTGTGGTAGCACACACCTGTAATCCCAACACTGTTAGGCTGAGTCAGGAGGACTGCAAGTTTGAGCCTTAGCCTGGGCAACTTATGTGTCTTAGCAAGACCTGTTTCATAATTTTTTTTTTTTGGTACCGGGGATTGAACTCGGGTCCTTGCGCTTGCGCAGCAGGCAGTGAAACCACTGAGCTAAATCCCCAGCCCGCAAAATTTTTAAAAAGGCTATGAATGTAGCTCAGGGCAAAGGCCCTGAGGTCAATCCTCAATACTGCAAAAAAGTTCAGAGACTAGAGTGTTTGCCTAGCAGGCTTTAAGTTTGATTCCCAGCACGGGAACAACAAAAAAGGCAATGAGTATATGAACATCTAAAATAGTTACAGGACAGCAATTTCAATAATTTCAATAATATGTATGTAATGTTTGGGATCCAGATCTCACCATTTAAATCCAAAGTACAGTTCACTTTATCTAAAATTTTTTTAAAAGGTGCTATTTGGGGGGAAAGGGTGATTATTTTTAAAGTATGCACAGAATATAGCTGTTAGGATAAAAAAATGGCAGTAATCTTTGACTCTGTAAAAAGGAAGGTATGGGCACTGGGTTTGTAGCTCAGCTCAGTGGTAAAGCATTTACCTAGCATGTATGAGGCCCTAGGTTCAATTCCCAGCATCACAAAATAAAAAAAGAAAACTGATTATAGAGTTTATGAAAGAGAGAGATTCACGTTTCACTGTACATCCTTTTGTACTATACATATTTTTCAAAAAATATCACATGAATTTACAACTGTACATCGCTGTACAAACTTAATTTGTTTCATGATTTTGGGAAAGATGGCTACATCTGTGTTTGTTTGGGAAGATGACTGGGGTCATGTTTATCACTTGGTGTGGAGTTTGTAAATGAAGCAAAATTCTGTTGAACACTTCTGTTTGCAAACAGTTTTAAATGTTTTAAAGCATTTTATTGCTTTAAAAAGAGCGAGCCAGCACACCTGTAATCCCAGCACTTGGGAGGTTGAGGCAAAAGGATTGCCACCAGTTCGAGATCAGCCTAAACTAATAGTGAGAGCCTGTCTCAAAAAACAAAACAAAACAAAACAATGAAACTAAAAAACTGGCAGTCTAGAGGAAGACATGTCCTAGGTGAGATCATAAGACAGCAAAAGGACATTAGTCAAAAAGTAAGGAAATGTGAATCAAGTATGAATTTTACTTAATGACAGTGTATCAATATTGATTCACTGGCTCTGAGAAGCATATCACACAAACAAGATGTTAAAAACATTTGTGGGGATTCTGCATTATCTTTTCTGCTTTCTTTCTGGCAATGCTAGGGATTGACCCAAGACATGCTAGCCAAGCACTTCACCACTGAGCTATGCAACTTTTGTATAAATCTACACTATTCCAAAATCAAAGTTTTGTTTTTCTCACTATGTAGTTCAGGCTGGCCTTGAACTCACAGCGATCCCCGTGTCAGCCTCTCAAGTGCTGGGATCACAGGCGCGCATCACTACATCTGGCAATAATATAATTCTTATAATTAAAAGTAGAACTGTGCCTGGGGAGTACAGTTCAATGATAGAATGCCTGCCTTCCATATAAGGCCATGGTTTCAATCCCCAGCACCAATAAACAAATAAACAAACTGGGGAATATTAGTAATGACCAAAACAAGAAGAAAAAAAAAAATCACTAAAATGGTATAGCATCTCTAATTACTTAGAGTGAAGTTATCCTGGGAAAATAAAATATAGAGAATTAAAGTAAAATATACATAACCTGGACATCTTACTATATGCTCAAGTTTTACAGAGATTTCAAATTTAACAAAAAGAAAAATTCCCCCCTCACCATTAGCTGCAGCTAGAAAAGATTTGTTACTGCCCCGAGCCTTATTGGTCAGGTCTTCGGTTATATCCATGTGCCGGTGGATTTCTTCACGCATTTCTTCTAGAATTTTGCAAAGTTCTGCTTCCCAGTAATCTTTGTCTAGACAGTCTATTAATTCTTCAAGCTGGACCTTTGTGCTGTAGTACCAGATTTTCTTCTCATTTTCATTTTCTGTATCTTCTTCTCTGTTGTGAAAAGCAGGGAAGTAAATGTTAAGACACAATGTCAGTTGTTTCATGATTTCATCTCATCAATGAAAATACAAAACACAAAAGTTGATGTGCTCAATATATATAAACACAATTATGTTCATGTTATGAGAACACAAATCATTCCCTCCAGTCTTATTTAAAATCAACTTTTATTTCATTTAAGCAACCTCTAATGGCTCTGATTTCCTAGTCTACAGCATTTTAGGTTAAAATAATCTGGGACCAGCAGCAGCAAGAGAGGTAGTAGATAGTAAGGAAGGCTATCTAAAATCACGACAAACAGAAAGATGACCTCAAAACTCAGGGCCACATGAGAGTACTTTGTGGAGGACCGTTCAGTTCCATCAGCTCTAAGATCATCAATGTAACAAATGAGATAAGAATTTTAACCCAAGTCCCTCAGAAATGTTTAACTATGCTCAGTACATTGGAGGCAGAGAGCAGGTGCACATTATAATACAGTTTAGAAATATTTCCATTAAATAGTATAATCGCTTTGCTACAATTCTGGTCCTTGAAGGAATCTCTCAATCAAGCAACAATGTCTCATCTCTCTTCCTAAAGACAAAGCACAAACTGGAGAGAACAGAAGCAACTTCTTTTGTGCCTAAATTCTTCTGAGGTGATTTTTGAAGGGAGTTAGAAACGTCAACAAAGATGGTCACTGATTTTTTTTTAAAAGGCAGATTAACACCTAGGGTAAGTCTTTGAGTCTGGTTTTCCTGTGTCCTCAATGGCAAACTACAAAGTGCAAAGCACCTGGCTTTAAGAAAAGACATGGTGGCCAGGGATTTAGCTCAGCAGTTCTGGCGCCTATCTTGCAAGCGCAAGGTCCCAAGTTCAATCCCTGATACCAAAAAAACAACAAAAAAAGAAAAGACATGGCTTTGAATGGGCTCAGTTACTTGAGACACAGACAAGACATACCACTCTGAGTCTCTGAGACATTTTATTCACTTCACTTATAAAATGGGTACACAGCAATACCTGCCTTGAGGCCACTATAAAACCTAAAGGTACTATGATACAGCATCATAGTGCGTGGGCACATTAGGGATCAATATATATTAAACAGTACTACCATTACAGTAGTAAAACTTTAGAGGAATTCCAGGAATGCTTGAAGAAAGAAAGGACATATTAAATCATAGATCTATAAAAGGAAGTTAAAATTACCCAAAATTTAAAAGAAAAGTAATTCCATACAAATTTCTGAGAATCTTTTAAAAAAAATCCACTCTAGATTTCACTCTCTAGTGGGTTTGTTTGGGTTTTTTTTGTTTTTTTTTTTGTTTTTGGTACCAGGGATCGAACTCGGGTGCTTGCGCTTTCAGGGCACGTGGCAGAACCACTGAGCTAAATCCCTGGCCCTCTAATGGGTATTTCTACTGAGGTACCATGACTGAGTGATGACAGCAGTCTTATTCAAATTTACCAGGTTAAAGATATCTGGTTTTCACATCAATATTCATATTAAGCTCTTTTTTTTTTCCCTGGTACTGGGAATCAAACTCAGGACCTTGCACTTGCAAAGTAGGTGTGGCACCACTGAGCTACATCCCTGGCCCAATAATAAGCTCTTAAAACATACTCTCCTATCAAAACAGAAAGTACTTAGTGAGCTCTGGCTAAGGCCTAAGAGATACATAATAGTACCATTATTTCTGTTGTTTTGTTTTGTTTGAGACAGGGTCTCTGACATAGCTGAGACTGGGCTCAAACTTACAGCAATCCTCCTGCCTCAGCCTCCCAAGTGCTGGTATTATAGGCGTGCTCCACCACACCTGGCTCAGCATTATTCTTTATTTTCTAAAATTTCAATGTTAAGGATTTCCATTGTTATAAAGAGGCCTGCTGAATTACTTGTTTCTTTTTTTCTTTATTCAAAAATTGTCATGTGTGTGGAGGTATAGTCAACAGTAGAGTTGTCTAGCAAGCATGGGGCATGGTGGTTATGGCTTGTTTCTAGATGTGCCCCCCAAAAACATCATGCAGTCATAGGTGGGACTTTTTCAGAGGTGGCTGGATCTACAGTGTGTGACACAGGAACTGATTCATAGTGCAGTGCTAGGCTCAAAGGCACTAGGATTAAGGGTGTGAGTGCCACCTACCCTAAGTAGTCTGGATGAGATAAAGGGGCAAAAAGATGCTGGTGAGGTCCACTGTGGCTTTTGCTGTCTTCTGAGTGCAATGAACTGTTTCTCCACTGCAAAACCCCTCTGCCACACCACTCTGCCTTGGAGCCAGCAAATTATGGACTGAAACATCTACCAACTGTGAGCTAAATAAACCTTTCCCCGCTTTAACTTTGGGTAGCGGGTATTTTGTCTCAGCAACAAGAAAAGTAACTAAGATACATAGGTTCCATCCCCAGCACCACACACACAAAGCAGAGCAGAGAAGGGAGGGGAGAGCAGAGGATGGGAAAAGAGGGGAGGGGAGGGAAGGAGGAGGGGAAAAGAGGGGAGGGGAGGGAAGGAGGAGAGGAAAGAAGACAAAACACAACACAACACAGTTATGTACCACATGGTAACGTTTCAGTTAACAATGGAACAGAGGCTGGTGCCATACTGCCAAGTGACAGCACAGTCATCTTAGTTTATTAAGTTACTTTATGATGTCCACACCAACAACAAGCTCACCTAATGCTGTACTTCGCAAAACACATCTCATAGGCCCGAGGATTTAGCTCAGTGGCGCCTCACCTGCCTGGCAAGTGCAAGGTCCTGAGTTTGATACCTGGGACCAAAAAGCAAATACACACACACAAACACACACATACACTCTCACACCTCATCATTAAGAGATGTATTGCCATATCTACGTATTTCAATGAAACAAGAAAACCACTCTAACTAAAAATGTTGTTTTGGATACAAAATGTAATTTTTAAGTGTAAGATTTCATTATGAAAATGAGATGATATAGGAACATATTTAACTAAGCAGACATTCTGTCAATTTTTTTAAGCAACTCAGACTCCTGAAAGGATCTCTAACAGCTGTTATGTCACATCCATGCCAGCATCTACAAACAAAGTGTCTCATCCACAACAGAAAACGCAATCCATTCTACACTGGAATTGCTATTAGCAACTTTTTCCTGATAATGAGATGCCTCAGACCCATAGTACTGCTACCAGTTAGCCCCCCTTTTTTTTTCCTGCTAGTTTATGCAAAATAAACCTAACACCTCCTCCATACAACATCCTTCAAATCCTTCACAGCATCTATAATTTTACTCTGCTTTTTCTCTTTATGCCAAACATGCTCAAATACGTCAGTCTTTGCTCACACAGCACAGTTTAAAGACTTCACTACCCTGATAATTTCCCCCTAAAACTACAGTTTGTCAATGTCCTCTGAAAATATGCCAGCAGTTGAGCATGGTGGCTCCTGCCTGTTGTCCCAGCACTCTGGGAGGCTGAGGCAGGAGGATCAGGAGACCAGCCTTGGCTGCTCAGCGAGAGCCTTTAAAAAAAAAAAAAAAAAAGTGGGGATGAGGGAGTCAGAGGGTGGGGAATATAGCTCAGTGTGAAGACCTTGGGTTCCAACCCCAATACCTAGGGAAAAAGTGGTGGCAATAACCATTTTTTAATCTGCTCATCAAAGATAATATTAACATGGGCTTAATGTTTTCTTCTCAAGGTTATAGAAGGATAAATTCATTATGGTAGAAAAAGCCAAAATAGTAAACAATAACTGAAGTTTTTAAAGAGAAGTTGTTTATTTGTACTTAATGTACTGTATTTGGGCTTACTTACAGTCCGTATCCAAATTCTGTCCTAACGATAAAGTGACAGTAGCTTCCTGCATAAGCACACAGGCATGTGCGTGTCTTGCTTAGCAGTTCCCACGCAGCTCCCACAGAAGCTGCTCCTGCAGGCCTACCCTGCTCGGAGGCACACCTGAATGGGCCCCACTGCCCTAAAGACACAGCAGGACCCGCTCTCCAGAGCTCACAGGCTGGCAGGGAGAGCACAGGGTGGAAAGAAAATGTTTGCCAAAAAATGTAATTAAGGGCAAACACACATATTCTATGCTTACACTTTAAAGTTTCTCTGACTTTTACCTAGTAGATAGAAAGTCTGACTAACTTACCATGCTAGGTAGTGATACTAACAGTAAGTTTCAAGTTTCATTTCTAAACAATCCATTCAAATAAAGAGTAAGAAACTCTGTAATATGTTGAATGGTGTTCCCCAACATTCAGGTTCACCAAAAATCTTAAAGAGTATGACATCATTTGGAATTAGCTTCTCTACAGATATAATTGCTTATCAGTGGAGATAAAATCATCCCTAAATCCAATGACTGGTCTCTTCAGAAGAGGAGAGGACACACAGAGACACACAGTAAAGAAGTGGTGTGAAGACAGACAGAGATTGGAGCGATACATTTCTCTATAAAGCCAAGGAATGCCAAGGATTGCCAGAAGCTAGGAAAGAGGCATGGAATAAAATCTCTGTGAGGTTCCAAAAAGAACCGACTCTACCAACACTGGATTTCAGATTGCTGACCTGGAGGACTGTGAGACAATAAGTTTCTGAGGGTTTTTTGTTTCACTGGGTTTTTTTTTTTTTTTTGGAGACAGGGTCTTGCTATGTAGTTCATACTGGCCTTGAACTCACTCTGTAGTCAGGTTGGCCTCAAACTTGCAGCAATCCTCCTGCCTTAGCCTCAAATGCTGGGATTACAGGTGTAATCCATGTCAGGTTTAAATTTCTGGTTTTTTGGGTTTTGTTTTGTTTTGAGACAAGGCCTCCTCATTATTTAGTTCAAGCTGGCCTTGGACTCACTATGTAGCCCAGGCTGGCCTTGAACTGAGGTGATCCTCCTGCCTCAGCCTCCCGAGTGCTGGGTTTACAGGTGTGCGCCACCAATACCCCATTTAAATTTCTGGTTTTTAAGCCACTCCGGTGCTTTGTTATAGCAGCCCAAGAAACTCCCAAATGTTGGTACATTATTTTCCCAACTTACGAACAAGTTCTGTTTCAGGAGAATGTTCATAAGTTGGATTTGTTTGGAAGTCTGACAAAGTGAGTCTTATATACCTTTGACACAAATATACACTGTAAAGCATAAAAAAACCAAATGTGGGGTCCATTCATATCTGTGAAACGTCACAACTCAAATGTTTGTTAAGTTGGGGACTTACTGTATCAGAAATAGAATGCTGCTGGAACATACACCTAAAACTGTGGAAGTGACTTTGCAAGTGGGTAAATGGAAGAGACTGGAAAATTTTTAAGCACTAAGGAAAAGCCCAGATTGCCTTGATGAGGTGGACGTAGGTAAACTAGAATTTTGTCAACAAACTGAGGAACATTTGAGGCACTAGAAACTCAGAAAGGTAGAAAGAATGCCTTCTAGAGCCTGCAGAAGGAGAGTGAACCTGCTGATGTAAGACACCTTATATTGGACTTCTAGCCTCCAGAACTATCAGACAATAAATCTCTGCTTTTTAAATCACTGCATTTGTGGAACTTTGTTACAGCAGCCTAGGAAACTAACACAACTAGCAATTCAGGAATTCAAAACAACACTAGGTCAAGCAGCCAAAGAAGTGGTTAGGAACACACATTCTGAAGTCAGAATGGGTTCTGATCCTGATTCTGCCACTCATTGATTGTGTGATCTTGGATCAACTGCTTAACCTCTCTACTGTGCTTTCTCCATCTGAAAGACAGTGACAGTTCTTGTACCAAAATCCTGTTGTTAGGATTAAATGAGTTAAAGTGTAAAGTGCTGAGCTGGGTGTGGTGACGCAGACCTGTAATCCCAGCACTCAGGAGGCTGCAGCAGGACTGTCCCAAGTTCAAGGCTAGCCTGGGCTAGATAGTGAGTGCCAGCCTGAACTGCACAGCAAGACCCTGTCTCAGAAAACCAATAAATAAATATTGGAAATATTCTTATAAACAGGTTCTAAAAACCATTTCAGGTCCTACATCTTCATAGCCACAGAGTCTTGGAGCAGTTATTTAACTTCCCTGAATTTTAGTCTCTCCATCTATAAAAGGCAGATAAATACATCATTTACATTATTCGACTACTGTGAAGATTAATGAAAAAAATGTACATACAATGCCTAGGACAATGTAAGGCACACATTAGTACTCAATAAATGTTTCTTTGTGCTATCATTATTTTTGCTAAATCATCAGCTAGAAGTCCTACTTGCAGGTCTCTAAAACTAAGGTTTCAACCACTGATGACTATGCAGTAAGCCTTAAAGACATCATGGCTTATGTGAATGTGGTCAAAGCACCTGTGGTCTCTGTGACCTAAAAAGGCAGATTAGGAGGGCCGGGGATTTAGCTCAGTGGTTCCAGCACCTGCCTCGAAAGCACAAGGTCCCAAGTTCGATCCCTGGTACCAAAAAAAAAAAAAAAAGCAGCTTAGGAAAAGAAAAAGCCAGTGGGAATGAACATTCAAAGGGCTAAGCAGGATAGAGAAGACACCACAGCAATACAAAGAGAAGAGCATGAACTAAATTTCACTTATTTCCTAGTTTGTTCACAGAGGTTCTGATGACCATGAGCAACTTTTAGGAGGGGACTGGATACAAAATGAACATGGCTGTTAACTACTAACGATCTACAGAGAAGACAAGGACCAGGCTTGCTGATAACAACAGTGTGACCAAATTTTTACTTACAATGACAATACAGCATTAAGCTTCAACCAAAATGTGGTTACAGGCATTGGTAATGACCTTGTGACAAAGGTTTCCATGCTACTACCTCAACAGCAAGACGAATATCACACACACACAAAGACACGAAGGACACATATCAGACACTCTGGGCAATAAGTGGGCAAGAAAAAATACTACTTTTTTTTTTTTTTTTGTACCGGGGATTGAACTCAGGTCCTCGCGCTTGCGTAGCAGGCGGAAAAACCACTGAGCTAAATCCCCGGCCCGATTACAGATATTTTTTTAAATAAATGCACCAGGGCCGGGGATTTAGCTCAGTGGTTCCAGCACCTGCCTCACAAGCACAAGGTCCTGAGTTCGATCCTGGTACCAAAAAAAACAAGAAACATTTTTAAAAACAAACTCACAAGGATAGGAAAAAGAGGACAGAAAAAAACTCTGCAAGCAGGCAAGGAGATGGGCAAGTGATTATTGTCAAAGCACAGAGCCAAGAAACCCTAATCCCAAATGAAAAGAAGCTGAGAACCAACACAATTTACATCCCCATTTCCTCAAAAGGCACTGAAATAAGGGGAGGAGCTCAAACAGAAAGCTAACCGTGAGCTGTTTCAGGGGCAGATCCTAAGGCTCTCTGGACTGGAAGACACCAGGCTCAGGTGTGAACAAAGGTATCATTCAGAAAACAGGCTTCAGGTGACACAGGAAATGTTGAATGCACAATTAAAAACATCCCACTTCCAGCACTTGGCCGCCAGAACAGTGCCAGTGGGAACTGCAAAAGGCTCCTCTCAACCCACCAGCCAGCTCTAGAGGAAAGAGCTAAAGGCACAGACAATAGGGATTCCTCAATAAAGGTCAATGGAAGTCACTCCACGGGTGCACTGGAAACTGGTAAGGCCCACCCACTTGCTCAGAGCTCCCATTAGCCATATAGTTCCACAGGGTTAATCGGGAGAAGAGAAATTAAAAATGTGTAAACCTCTGAGGGTAACAGAGAGAGACCAAAACAAAGGAGCAATTCAGAAGAAATAGACTATACAAGGGGTCGGGGGGGATTAAAAGCCTCAGAACCATAAGATAAAATACTATATCCATGAAACAAAGAGGATTTTAAAGTTACTATTTAAAAGGAGGATTCCAAGCCTGGCAGGGTGGCGCACACCTGTAATCCCAGTAATCGGAAGGCTAAGGCAGGAGGATCACCTCAAGTTCAAGGCCAGCCTGGGCTATGTAGTGAGTTCAGGGCCAGCCTGAACTACAAAGGGAGACTCTGCCTCAAAAAACCAAAAAGTAAAAGATAAAAAAAAAAATAAAAGGATTCTAAATACAAAGAGCTCTTAAAAAATAAAAATATGGAAAATTATGGTAGCAAAAACACAAAAACTAAATACTATACTAGGGTTGGGAGGCCAAGATAAGGAAATCTAGAAAAACTAATCAACACACATCCCTCAAACAGGAAAAAGACAAAGTGGAGAACTGGAGAGAAAAGATAAGAAAATCAGAAGACCAGAACAGGAAGTCCACTGTCAAATAAAATACTCCAGATGAATACAAACGGAAAGGAGAGGAGAAAGTCCTGAGGAGAGTTCTCACAGCCGAAGGATACAATGATGGAAAATGCCCACCACATACCCAGCAATGAAAATGCACCCACACAGGGTACAGCACTGCACAGCTGCACAACAGTGGACACACAGAAGATTCCGTGGGCTTTCATCTGAGCACAAACCAGTCATACACAAAAAAATCAAGAATGAGAATGAGTTCAGACTGCTCCACAGCAACAGTGATTTAAGTTCCTGGTCTCCCCTCCTGGCCCTGCTCTGACATTCATTTCATCCCACCACAGATTTTGGGGGGGGGGGGGTCCTTGTGCTTTTGAGGTAGGCGGCAGAACTACTGAGATAAATCCCCAGCCCACCACCACAGATTTTTTTGACTGTACCTAATTCTGAGAACTAGAAAAAAACTTTGAAGATTTTAAAAATACAAAGTAGCCCACTCCCTTTACCAGGTTTGTGCATGGTGTCCAATACTCAGACCATACTTTAACCCTGCCTGATGCCCTAAGGTCAGTCTAGTGTTTTCCTGACTGTCTCCTGATGCCTGAAAAAGGGTTCTGAAACCCTTGGGCCAGAATATGATTCTGAATCTGTTGAGATTACCTCCTCCTATATAGGAGACTGCAACCAACAATGGCACAAAAGACCCTTCCTTACAGTGAGCTTTGCTCTAGCTGTTCCATTTCACACTCAGAATAAAAGTAAAAGGGAGACACAAAAAAATCCTAACACCAAATTAGCTTAATGGGCTACAGAGGAATGTAACCAAGGAAGGGGCCACTTCATCTAGGTACATTCTATTCCTTATCCTAGGCACTGAAAACAATGTGCATTTTGTGTCTTTCATACACTTTCCTACACAGTCCTTCAAGTTCGAAATCATTTAACTACAACTCATTATCAAATTACAAAAATTTATACTATAGTACTATATACTAAAGCAGTATAGCTTTGCTGGATCAATAATGAAAAAAATGGTTTAATATTAAATACATACAAAAATTAAAATCAGATTCACTTACATTATGAGTCTTCGGTTTAAGAACCAGTATTTCCTCCGACTTCTGTCATATCCAATAGGCTCATGTCGAATATATGGTTTGTTTTTTTGGATTTCAGCAACACAGTCAGTCACACCAGGCACCTTGTGTGCTACACAGACTTCACACTGCCATTCGTCCTCTGGCACCTCCTCAAGAGGTGGCTTCACACATTCCAAATGGTATACAGCTGAACACGTCTCACAGCAAAGCAAATCCCCAAGTTTGTGGCAAACCCTACAATGGTCATCATACTGGATCACCCCTTCAGACATCAACTCCTCACGAGCAATGTTTGTCGTAAGAAACTGATCAACTAAGAACTGCAGAACTTTGATTTTGTTCTCTACTGGTCCATAAGGATAGTCCTCGGCTTCTTGGTAGGGAAGAACATGATGGTACTCCTTATCGCTCTCACAGTACACACGCAGCACCTCTGGCCATGTCATCCCATCTATGAAATACAGAGTGGAATTGACGCTATCTTTCAGGTCAGCAGGCCCAAAGGTAGTATTCGAGGTGTCTTCCTCACGCAGAACTGCTTTCAAAAGCACAACGTGCATCTCCGCCATGAGTGTGCACTGCTCTTGGCTCACTAGAGCTGCACAAAAGTCCTCAAAGCGAAAAGGAGACAATCTTAAAACAGTGCCAAAGTTCCGCAGTACCTCATAAATGGCAATAACATTCATTATATGCTCATTAGGCACCATTAAATCCTCAGAGGACTTGGGAAATTCAAGGGGTGGGATGTCTTTTTCTTCTAATATTGGAGAACGAGGCCGATGTGCTCTTGGTTTTCGCCTACCTGTAAATAAAGAAATTATATTATTACAAACAAATACATGATATCACTTCTATAAACTTAGGGTTCTGCAGTTTTTGCCCTCAAAAAATAAGCATACTTTTATTACTCTAGTAATTTTCAAGTTAAAATAATACCAAGAATATCGGTTGGGAGTGTTGCTTAGTGGTAAAATGCTTGCTAGTATGTGCACAGCTCTGCTACTACAAAAAAGGAAGAGAGAGAGGAAGAGAGGGAGGGGAGGGGAGGGAAGGGAGATCAAAATTCAAAAACATCAAACCAGGGTATTTGTAAAAGATCTGACAAAAAATATATGAGAAAAAACATCTACATATAAGATGACCAGCGTGGAGGGCAACAGATATCATACTGCATCAGCTGCAATACAGACAATTCATCAACCTGACAGGAAGTTCCCAGTGTAGATCCCTTTACTTCCTGAGGAGTTCCACAGTGAAGCACAGGCTCAGGGAAGAGGAGAGAGAGAGAAAACAAAACAGGAAGAAGCAGCTGGGCATGGCTGGCACACATCTATAATTCCAGCAACCGAGAGGCTGAGGCAGGAGCATCACTGTGACTTTGAGGCCAGCCTGAACTACATAGCTATACCCTACCTCGAAAAATAAAAACAAATAGATGGGCTGGGTATTTAGCTCAGTGGCACGGTGCCTGCCTGGCAAGCAAAGGTCCTGAGTTTGATTCCTGGTACCTAAAAGTAAAAATAAAAACAAAAACAAAAGTGAAGAGAGAAGAGAAATTTCAATGCTGGGAGGAAAAAAACTGTTTTATCTAGTTAACAGATAAGAGATTATTCCCCAATTTATGAGACCTGATGCCCAGGAGCATATCATGTGCATGTCTGTGTGTGTAATTATATAAAACATGTAACTGCTTAGTTTGTAACATTTTTACATATTTTATTTAATCTGAGTAAGTCTATGTGAGGTATTATAATCATTCCTGCTTTATATATAATTAAGAAAACCTGGGCCAGGGATTTAGCTCAGTGGTGCCTTGTCTGCCTCGCAAGCCCAAGGTCCTGAGTTCGATCCCAAAAAAGGTATAAATAAGACCAGGGATTTAGCTCAGTGGTTCTGCCGCCTGCCTCACAAGTGCAAGGTCCCAAGGTTCAATCCCCAGTACCAAAAAAAAAAGGTATAAATAAGAAAACTTCTCAACAAAGTTATTCCTAAACTGCCTGTATTGCTATTATTACACTGTCCAATGATGTCTGCAGAACAGTAAATGTATTTTTAATTTCAGAAGTAATTTGAATGATATCAACATGAAATTCATTTTTGTTCAATTGAGTTTTATTAACTATGGGTTTGGATTGCTGATAACCTCCTTTAACTGCTCCCTCTATATCCTCTCCACCTCTTTCACTCATATGCAAATTAAGTGCTAAAGTGCTAAAGTACCTGCTACCAGAAGGGTAAAAAAAAAAGTATGCTAAAGGATATACATATGTATGTATGTTTTTTCTTTTTTGGTAATGCTGAGTATACCCAAGGCCTCCAGCTATGCAAATGCTCTACCATGAAACAATCTTTAAGGTACACCACTAAGTGGAGGAAATGGCCATCTATAGAACAATGAACAGAATGGTATCACTTAAGTAAGGCAGGGGTGCAGCAGGACTTAAAGAAAAACAAGTTCTTCCCAGACTTGGGCAGCACCCCACACACACACACCCCCACCCCACCCCAGCCCCCCGCGCCTTAGGTCCCCTCCCTTGCATCCCACCCCTCTCCCTTGTAGCCGTAACTCTTGTTCCGGTACAGATAAAATTGACAACTATATCCCGCAAACAATTTTATGACACCTTGTTCTCATATGATTCATAAGATACTGTCTTCTTACAAGGCTAAATTACAAACCTGCCCTTGTTATGTTCTGGTAAACTCACTTGCTACTGCACTAGAAAGACCAACTCTCTTCAATCAAATCTATAAAAGCTACAACTTTTCTTTGTTCAATGCTCTTCCTTTGGACAGGAGTCTGTTGAGCCAGTGTTCACCTAAAATAAATCCTCCCGATTCCCATTGCTCTCTCGCCTCTTGGAATTCCACAACATGGGGAGAGGAATGGAGAAAGTGGTAATATATGTCTAAGAGGTCATGTAAATATCTTTACTGGGCACAGTGGCACACACTTCTAATCCCAGCACTCTGGGAAGAGGATTCCAAGTTCAAGCCCAATCTGGGCAATTTAGTAACTTAGTGATACCCTGTCTCAAAATTTAAAAGAAAAAAAAAAATTCTAAAGGCAAGAGGTGTAGCTCAGTGTAACAGGTTTGGGTTCAACCCCCAGTACCACCTCCCCCCCAAAAAAGGGCACATTATTTACAATCCTCGATACTCAAGAGCCTAAAGCAGGAGGATTGCAAGTTCTAGGCCAGTTTGTCCCAGCCAGGCGTGATAGTGTATACCTTAAGCCCAACAATCAAGAGGCAATAGCAGGATCCTCATAAGTTCAAGGATAACCTGGGCTACATAGTGAGTTCAAGGCCAGGCTGCACTAGAAAGCGAGACCTTAGGGGGTAGGGGATTTAGCTCAGTGGTTCTGGCACCTGCCTTGCAAGTGCAAGGTCCCAAGTTCGATCCCCAGTACCCAAAAGAGACCTTGTCTCCAACCCCCTCCCCCAAAAGACCTTGTCACAAAAATAAAAGTAAAACTGGCTAGGGATACAGCTCAGTGGTTCAGCACTAGCCTATCATGCACAAGGACCTAGGTTCAATCCCTAGTACCAAAAAAGTCTTTTTAAAAGTAGTTGCTTCTGGGGAGAAATGGCTAACAGGAAAAGAAGATTTTTTAAACTTTTGAAAATATACATGTATTTTTATAATATTTTTAAAAGAAAAAATTGGGCATATTATTTTAAAAGTACAACCAAACTACTGGAACAGATGCAGAACAAGAGAAGCACCAGTATACCACCAAGGGGACTGTGAACTGGTATCATAAGTTTGGAGAACAAGTCTAATAGGCATAAGGCTGTGCATACAACCCTGAAAAAGCTAACTTGTTTCCCTACGACTGAAGTACAAAATATATTTCACATCTTAATCCAGTATGCATACTCTTGAAAACAAAAGTACTATAAAACACTACTCTTACTATATGCCTTATATAAGTATTTTTCTCTCCTATACTAATATCCTCTTTTTGTTGTTGTTTTTTGGTACTGGGAATCAAACTTGGGATGTTGCACTTGGGAGGCAGGCAGAGGAACAATTGAGCTAAATCCCTGGCCCATATCCTTTTTTATTTAAAAGAGACAGGATCTTGCTTTGTTGTTCAGGCTGACCTTGAACTCATTACATAGCCCAGGCTGGACTCAAACTCTTGGCAATACTCCAGAGTGCTAGGATTACAGGCACAGACCACTACCCTTTGCTCTCCGTTCTGGATGCAGCCCACAGTTTGAAATATACCTCTAGAAAAACTCCTCACGCACATGTAGAACATTCAATACTGTTTATAAAATCGAAACAAGTGAAAACAATCAGAATGTCCATCAACAATGAAATGACTGGCTGGGGATTTAGCTCAGTGGTTCCACTGCCTGCCTCGCAAGTGGAAGGACCTGAGTTCCATCCCTGGTACAAAAAAAAAAAAAAGGAATTTTCCTAACAATGAAATGATTAAATTATAGAATGCTGATTTGATACAATTCTTTTTTCTTTTTCTTTTTTTTTTTTTTTGGTACCGGGGATGGAACTCAGGTCCTTGCGCTTGTGCAGCAGGCAGCAAAACCACTGAGCTAAATCCCCAGCCCTTTTTTTTTTCTCTTTTTGGTACCAAGGATCAAACTCCAGACTTTGCACTTGCGAAGCAGATGGGAGAACAACTGAGCTAAATCCCCACTCCAATGATACAATTCTATACAGCAGTCTCGAGTAATTTAGGATTATGTAATGTCATACGGATCAATCTTAAAAACAAAAACACTAAGCAAAAAATTTTTTGATACAAACGATGAAGAATTGAAAACCATTCCTTATGGATGGATACATAATGAATATACTATTATGGTGATACACATATACAAACTGATATTCACCACTAGCACATGATCTTAAAGGCAGGCAGTTTTATGTTGTCTATGTGAAACAGTGGCTGTCACATAGTAAGCTATCTAACAAACATTTATTAAAAGAATTAATGGCTTTGAAGTGGTAGCACATGCAATTACACAGAAAATGATGTCTTAGCTAGGCATGGTGGCACTTGCCTGTAATTCCAGCATCTGAGACACTGAGGCAGTAGGATCACAAGTTCAAGCCAGCCTGAGCTAGCTAGTTATTGGCTGATTGGTTTCTCAGACAGGATTTCACTACGTAGTTCAGGCTGGCTTTGAACTCATTATGTAGCCTAGACTAGTCTCCTGCAGCAATCCTCCTCCCTCAGCCTCCTGAGTGCTGGTATTATAGGCATGCAAAACCATGCCAGGCCAGCCTGAGCAATTTAATTAAGCAATTTTATTGACTCTGTAGGACCCTGTCTTAAAATGGTGGGGATGTGGCTCAGTGCAAAGGCTCTGGGTTCAAGCCCTAGTACCAGCAAAAGCAAAAAAGAGGGAGTGGGGGAGGAAATTATGTCTTTACTTATTTGTAGAGATTAGAAATGTCTGGCTTCCCACTACGCAAATAGAATACTACAGTGAAATGCCCTAGAACAGTGGCACTCAAACTTGAGAGTGCATCAGGATCACAGAGAGCTGATTCTATTTGAAACAGAGTGGGGATAATCTGAGAATTTACATTTCTAACATTTCCCAAGCCATGCCAATTGTGCTGAGGCTCACACTTTGAGAAACAACTTCCTAGAACATGAAAAGGTTATTGTTACTTGAGATTCAGGTAAGTAAAAATCAATAAACATCATGTGAAATTCCAGCAGTTATTTTCATCTATGATGTTTGAGTGAAATTCAGAATCTCAGGCCCCATTCTAGCCCTATGAATTAGGTTCTACAGTTTCTCAAAATCTTAACATTAT